AAAGGAAAAGTTCAAAAACAGGCATATAAGAACTTAAACAGAGCCATGCTAGGTCAGACCAATTATCCATCCAGCTCAGTGAGCGGTCTTCCAAAAGGCATTCCAATGGAATAAATAGAACAGGATGATTATCAAGTGATCTACCCTTATTGAGTTGTCCACTACCAGTTTCTGGCAGCTGGAGGTTTAGGGACAGCCAGCGCCTGGGGGTTGCAACCCTGACCAGCGTGGCTAATAAACCTTGATAGACTTCTCCTCAATGAGCCTCTCTAGTTCTTTTTTGAAATAGGGATGTAAAAAATTAATGAAAATGTAAAATTTATATTGGTTACACGATTAACCGCTCCTGGGGCTGCTGGCTCACAGTCTCACAGAGTGCTGTGGGGCTACCAGGGCTTCTGAATCCATGGGGCTGCTCGCAGATCCATACAGAGTTTAATGGTTACCGGTAACCGATAAGCAGATAACGCTTACATCTCTATTTTGAACCCAGTTATACTTTTGGCCTTCACCACATCTCTTGGCAAGGAGTTCCACAAGTTGACTGTGTGCTATGGGAGAAGTAGCTCCTTATGTTTGTTTTAAACCTGCTGCCTATTAATTTCATTGGGCGACTCCTAGTTCTTGTGTTATGAGATGGAGCAAATAATGCTTCTCTATTCACTTTCTTCACACCATTCATGGCAGATGAAAAGTAATGCTGATAAATACAAAGTCATGCACGCTGGAAAAAATAAACCCAACTAAACATTAGGGATGTGAATGTTTAACTGGTTAACCATTAAGCCTTACCCTTAACAGGTGAGGCTTACTGGTTAAGGTTAACCAGTGGGGGCTGGAGCAGCTTCCTGCCTGCCACAGTCAGGGGCTTGCTCCAGCCCTGTGAGGTGGGTGTGGGGAGGGGGGAAGTCCACTGCAGAGAGAGGCTGTTATTTCAGCCCTAGGAATCCAAGGACCTGTGCCAATACCCCTCCCTCCCCCCTCTGAACCAGGCCTGCACCCTCCCATATTGCAATTCCCCTCCTACTTTTCAGCACATGCCCCCCGTCCTGGTTTGCAAACTCACACTTCCTACTATTTCAGTCTCAGGTTCAATCTACACAATAAAGCTGCCAACTTTCTGCACGCACAAAACCAGACACCGCTGCCCCACCTTCTACCCAATCCTTCACAGAGGCCCTGCCCCCTGTTCACTCCATCCCCCTTCCCGCTGTCTCTTGCTCTCCCTACACTCACACACTTTCACCCGGCTGGTGCAGAGAGTTGATGTACAGGGAGGGCGAGCTCTGGCTCGAGGCGAAGGCTCTGGTGCGGGGCCAAGGACAAAGCATTTGGCATGCAGGATAGGGATGTTAAATTTAGCTTGAGTGGCTAATCGAATAGTCAATGCAAATCGACTAGTCGATAAGGGTGCCTCTGCCTCTGAAGTGTAACAACCACCCCAGGGTAGTTGCTACACTTCAAAGGGGAAAGTGCTGCAAGGAGCATGGGGCCAGTGGGGGACTCAAACAGTCCCCGGCTGGCCCCATGCTCCCTGCAGTGTTTCAAAGTGGCACCACCGCATGGAGCCTGGGTCCCCAGCTGACCCTGAGCTCCACGTGGCACTGATGCTTTGAAATACTGTGTGCAGCCTGGGCTGCATGTGGCATTTCAAAGCAGCAGACCCTGGGCTTCATGCGGTGCTGCCGCTTTGAAACGCTGCATGCACTTCAGGCCAGACCAGCTGGCCCCAGGTTGCATGCAGCCCTAGGCTCCACGCAGCGCTGCCACTTTGAAGCACCCCCTCCTCTTCTCCCACCATGCCGCCTCTTCCTGATAGAGGCAGCAAGAGGGGCGAGGAGCGACTAGTCAACTAGCATGTTGACTATCCAATAAGCATTTGCTTATTGGATAGTTGACTAGTCGTTCACACCACTAATGCAGGAGGGGGTTCTGGGCTGGGGTAAAGGTTGGGGATGAGGGGTTAGAGGTGCAGTAGGACATTGTAGGCTGGGACCAAGGGGTTCAGAGGGCAGGAGAGAGATCAGGGCGGGCATAGAATGAGAGCTCTGGCTAGGGGTATGGGCTCTGGGCTGAGAATGAGGTATTTGGAGAGTGGGGGAGTTTGACCAGCTGGGATCAAAGAATTCAGAGGACAGGAGGAAGTTCAGGGCTGGGTAGGGGTCAGGGATGCAGGAAAGGTGCATGTTCTCAGATGCAGTGGCATATCCTGGTATCAATTCCTAGGCGGATAGCTCTGCGCACTGCCCCATCATAGAATACTAGAATTGGAAGGGACCTCAAGAGATCATCAAGTCCAGTCCCCTGCCCTCATGGCAGGACAAGCCCCCAGTCCCCTGCCCTCATGGCAGGACAAGACCGGTCTACATCATCCCTGACAGGTCTATCCAACCTGCTCTTCAATATCTCCGGTGATGGAGATTCCACAACCTCCCAAGGCAACTTATTCCAGTGTTTCACCACCCTGACAGGTAGGAAGTTTTTCCTAATGTCCAACCTAAACCTCCCTTGCTGCAGTTTAAGCCAATTGCTTCTTGTCCTATCACCAGAGGCCCAGGAGAACAATTTCTGCCCTTGTCGCCCGGTGACACTCTTTTAGATACCTGAAAACTGCTATCATGTCCCCTCAGTCTTCTTTTTTCCAACTAAACAAGCCCAATTCCTTCAGCCTTGCCTCATAGTTCACGTTCTCTAGACCAGGGGTGGCCAATCTGTGGCTCCAGAGCCACATGCGGCTCTTCATAAGTTAATATGCGGCTCTTTACATAGGTACCAAATCCAGGGCTGGAGCTACAGGTGCCAACTTTCCACTGGGCCAGAGGGAGTTCACTGTTCAACCCCCAGCTCTGCCCTACTGCTGTCCCCCTTCACCCTTCTCCCTAGGATCCTGACACTTCCTACCCTCTCCCCGAGCCTGTCACACCCATGCTTCCCCCCTCCAGTGTCTCCCAGTGAGAAAGAGCTGATCCCAGTGAGCAGGAGGAAAAGGAGGGGACAGCACCCACTGGTGGGTGGGATGTGCTGAGAGTGGCGATGAGGAGACGATCAGTGACATATAACTCTGGCTCTTTGGAAATGTGCATTGGTAAATTCTGGCCCCTTCTCAGGTTCAGGTTGGCCACCCCTGCTCTAGACCTTTAATCATTTTTGTTGCTCTTCTCTGGACCTGCTCCAATTTCTCCACCTTTCTTAAAATGTGGTGCCCAGAACTGGACACAATACTCTAACTGAGCCCTGGTCAGCGCAGAGTAGAGCAGAAGACACAGACAACACCCTTACGGCTCCCACTGACGCCCATTTCTAGCCAACGGGACCTGCAGATCTGGCACGGGCAGGGCGGCGGGGTGTGAAGGGGATCATGCCTGGCTCCCTGGCTACTCCCATGCACAGGAGCCGGAGGGGAGGCACACTGCTGTCTCCAGGAGTTGCATAGCACCAAGGCAAGCAGGAAACTGCCTTAGCTCAGTGCTCTGTCAAAGCTGGACTTTTGACAGCCTGGTCAGCAGTGTTGACCAGGCCACCAGGGCCTTTTTTTGAGCAGGGATTCCAGCCCCAAACCAGACAGCTGGCAACCTGACCCCACCCAGACAGCCTGCAGGCATAAACCCCTCCAATAGCAATTGCAAGCCTCGCTATTGCTCCGCCCCCCCCCATCTTGCCCTGCAGACCCTTTCCTTCAGCAATTGCTCGACCCCACATTGCATTCCTCTGCCCCACTCTTGGTTTGCAGCCTCCCTCCCTAGTGCAACTCCAGACCCTGCAGGGCTCTGCCCCGGCTGGTTTGCAACTTAGAGCTGCCCCGCCCTCCGAGCGCGCGGGGCGGGAAGAGGAGG